CAACTTTACGATTTCTATGTAGACGAGGCTTTACGATTACAACGTCGCCGTAAAGAATTACAGAATAGCAAAGCTTGAGAGTGTGTGGCGCGGGCCTGTCGTCTCGTTACTATTCCTCGGACCGCGCGATCGTTCTCGAGGAATTAATTATTCACGATCCGTGCGATGGGCTCTTAATGTTAGCGTGAAACGCGCTTGGATGTCTACTCGTCCGTACTTTATTCGCAGTCGTCGTGAATCGAAACGACAAGGAACAGGAGTTTCCAGCTTATTTATCGGCTATACGTGGCGCGCTTTAAACTTTTCGTCGTGGTGATTACACGTGGTTTATTTATTGTCGATCGGGATCGAGAGGAAGATACGCGAGACACGTTGACTCGAACGATGGCACTGATTGTGAGAAAAATTTCCGTCGGATCAATCGAGTAACTTGTGTTTCCGATGGCTAATTTTTCCGATTGCGTCTTCCGAATAAATGATGGACACATCCGGTGAAATTTATCCGATGAGATGCAGTTACCGGTGAAATTTGTGTGACAAACCGATCGTATTTTTCGTCAGACAACGCACCCTCAGAAAGGATTTCCGTTACCGAGACAAAAAATATTCTAGACGCATTTCTATTTCTCACAACTTCACTTACAATTAGTATAAAAATAAGACGATATCAGAATAAAATCAATAATTCTTATTCTCCTCTATCGAATTAAAAAAGATCGAGACAAGAGTAACTTATACAAATGTAAGTTTGTATATTCTTTCGTTTAGAATAAATTGTCCCTCCATCTTACAATGTACGAAGTTGACATCACGATATTCGACAAAAGACGATACGTACTGTCGTTTTATTCTAGATTTTAGAAATTTTCAATTAAGATTAAAATATTTCTTTCAGTGCAATTGAAATAAAATCGTTGAAACAACGTCAGATTGTTGTCTTAGGCCCGGTTGCACCAACGTCACGTAATTTTAACTGTAGCTTAATTCACTCTTTGTCGCTTTCCAACTGTTTCCCTTAGAAAGAGACAAAGAGTGAAATAAGCTAAAGCTTAAATCTAAGCGACGTTGGTGCAACCAGGCCTTAATAATCTGGATATTCAGTTCAATGCTTAAAATTAAAATCCATAGCAAATACAATTGATTTGTTGCAGCCCGTGACGTTAACGTTTAATTCAAGCAACTTCATTTTGTTTAATTCAACAGCATTTCTTTTCTCGTGTATAATAAATACAATTGGCGCTATGTCGATCCTATTTTATGATATACATTGAAGCGCAATAGCATCGGATGCGGAAATTTTTTTCTGCGGGTGCGGACAGATAACGGAAAGCAACGTGGCGGAGCGTGGAATAATAAACGGGCGGCTAAATTGCGGGCTAATGAAAAATCGTCACGTACCGATTCATTCGCATCGACAACTGATTCGTAAATCCGCGTGGAACATTAGGTGTGAATTAATTTCACTGTGTACGCATCAAAGATTTCGCGACGATAGACGGGCTCTTTGCGATGGGAGTGTGTTATAATTGTTTACAAGATGTAAATATTCGCGCGAGGGAGCGGCTCGGCCGCGCGTCCCCGTGGTCTTTTTTTTCCCTTTCTCGTTCCCGCAGACACGTTCTCCACGACAAAAAAAATGCACGGACATTAACGCGTATAGGATTTGCGAAAATTCATAAAATGCACACGCAAGACGACGGCTATCTAGCGAAACGGAAAGTGGATTGTATCTTAATGTTTCCTGCGTCGCGCGAAATTGCATATCGTGTACGGGTAATGCTACTGGGAGTGCCGCGTAAAGTATCGCGCGATCCTAATTAACTTTACATATATTGTTCGATCGCGTCCGATAGCTGTTTCGCGCGCGATCGTAATGAATATTTCGCGGGTATTACGATTGCAACTGGGGAATTCGAAAGGAGGCAGAGACTGGAAACAACGACGGGATCGCCACGAGATATGCGAATAATTATTATTCGCGTTATTTATTATTGAAGCCGTCCGCTTCCGTTTCGATTTAACGGATCGTATAGAAATTCTCTCTTCCGCAATGTTGAAGATGGAAACGGGAAAACGCGGCGGACGTTAAATCGCGGATACGCGGTTTTCAGATACAGGACGCATTCCTTCGAATCTCGCCGGTGATCGCGGATCGCAATCGTCCCGCTGGATGTACATACTTGGTTATCGAGCGCGGAGCTCGAATTGCGAAATCGAAATCGCGCTAGCTCAACCGCGTTAAATTGTGGCTGTAATCAGGCGCTTAATGGCACGAGACGCTTAATGATACAAGAACTTGCGAATTGATAAAAATTAACGGGCAGAAAATGAAGACAGGGGCATCGCGGAATTCGTGTCGAGTAGTGAGCGAGAGCTGTTAGGATTACTAGGAATACTCGGGCTATTAGGGGCAGATTAAGGAAACTGGAGCAGGTGGGATTCCGAGAAATTAAAGGCGACGGACGTTGAAATTCAGGCGAAATCTTAACGAATTGATTTAGATTTTTCAATCGTTACAAATAAGTGTACAACAATTGACTTGGCGCGTTGTATTTTCCGAAATTAGACGCGCCACAAATTTCGCAAGTGTGAAATATAAATGACGCGTTTTATAATTACGGTGAGTATCGATTAAAATTAAATTAGACTCTGTCGCAAATAATGTCTTATACTTTTTGTCCGTGCGTTATTTCCGTCCGTAGATATTGATAGCGTTACGTAAAGCAATTATAATATTCTATAACCGTTGCGTAAAATCGAAACGTGTATATCCCCCGTCGCAAAACTCGTCAAAAGTGCACGCTTCTGCAATCTTTCTTTCGCAAAAATCAATCGTGCCGCAATACGCCGACGCGCTCTTTCATTTTCGTACCTCGAGAAACAATTTAAATAATCAATCAAGTTAATTGGCGACGCGCTCTTTCATTTTCGCATCTCGAGAAACAATTTAAACAATCAATCAAGTCAATTGGCGCCGCACGAATCGAACGATCCGTCGAAAACGGATCCTCAACAGAAGGTGAGAGTCTCGCGAAATTCTGCCGGGATCGATCGAACTTGTCCGCGGCGTCGGCTAAGGGTTTGAGAAATGCTCGGATTAACATTCGGCAAGTTCGATTTCACAGAGACACGAAGAAACAGATCTCGGCGGACAGACGTGCGCAGGCACAATACAGCCGGGGAATCGGCCTCGCCGCCGCCGCCGCGCGCGCGGCGAAGAGCGGCGCGAGACGACGGGGCGCGCGCATGCGCGCGCCGCGTATATCGTCCGCGCTGCGCCGGCGGCCACCTTCAGTCTAGTCTGTACCGCGCGCGCGATAACGTCGGGTGCGCGCGAGCGGCCCGCGCACAGTCGTACGTTCGTCCGTCCGTCTTCGTGCCCGCTCGGTCCGGCTCGTCCGTGCGCACAGGCCGCGCTTCGGGCAGCCGCCCCCGCTTTGTTCGCGCGAACGGTAAATAGAGCGAGGCGGCCCAAGCTTGCGTCGCCGTGCCGCGGGATTAATCGACTACGGGGGGGCTGCGGGATTTCGCCTCCCCCCCGCGGCCGCGGAGTGCATCGCGGTGGTTGCGACGCCGCGCCGCGCGCGTCACGGCCGACACGGGAACATGAGCGCGTACGCGGTTTGGAGGATTCCGCCGCGCGGCCGACGACAACATCCCCGCGCCGAGGATTCCGCGCCGCCCCAGCCACGGGATCCGCCAGCCACGGCACCTGCCGCGCGGCAGCGGTGCGTCGCGTGAGTCGGCCTGTAACGAGGTAGGGAGTCTCGCGGTCGGGCGATTATTATACGCGGACGCCCCGCCGTCCTGCCTGTCGTCGTGCCTGAAATGGACCTGCCGGGCGCGACGCCGCGCCGCGAGTGCGCGACTCGCCGATGAGCGGCCGTCAACGAGGCGACGTCCCGCAGCGAGCACAGCGTCGCGACGCCGCGACGCGGTCGCGCGTGCCGTCGTTAATCGGGGCCGAGATCGCGCGACGTTCCCTCCTGCGGTCGGAAGTTGGCCGCGGTAGACCTGCCGGCCCGTCGGCAATCGCGCCGGATCGGAGTGAGACGCGTCGCGCGAGTGAAGAAGCGACGAGGGGTGGCGTGTACGCCAAGTGAGTGGCCCGTGGACCGAAAGTCACGGTTGTCGTGCACGTCGACGAGTGCGTCGGATGCGTGTCAAAGTGCAGCAGCCGCGGCAGCGGGGCGCCGGGAGAAGAGGTTAGGCGAGGCCGACACCCACCGAGCGAGTCGATCAGCTGTTCCACGGCGCCGACATCATCGTCGTTTCGGACGCAGGTACGTGCCAGTTTTCACTTTCCTCGCCTCGCCCGCGTGCGACTCGAGATCGCTGGGCATCAAGAGAGAGAAAAGGGCCGCCCCGGTATCGGTCTCGGGCCGTTCGCCACCTTCGAACGTCATCGTCCGGAGTCGATCTTGGCCTCATCCATAACTGCAATCTGGGATATTTTAGGGCTCGCTTTGTAGACGCGCGTCGACGATATAATATCAATAGGAGCCGACAGGACGCGAGGAGCACGTAATCGATCGGATGGCAAAAGCAGCGTTCTCCATTTTTGTTTATAAAGGCCAAATAGTGGAGAGACTCGCGAGCGTCGTCGCGTCGGCTCGTCCCATGACCAGGCTTCTTTTTTTTTGTTTTTTAGAGACGTTTTTCACACGAGCCGAGGAGATTTGAAATTTTTGTCTCGCAATCAGTGCAAAATGGTATCTTCGGTTATTGACTTGTTGAGTTTTAAACGCCAGCTGGCGACAAGAGTCTCTTTCGGCTTTCGGCTAAAGGAATAAGTCAAGCTCCTCTTCGCGTCGCGTTACTTTCGCGACGACTCGGTTATACGCGGACGCCGAGAGCTGTGTGCTTTAAATAATTCAATTAAAATAACGGATCGCTCGGTGCACAATCCTTGGCGAATTCCTTTTCTCCGACGATTCGAGTAAACGCTCGAACGCCCCGGGACGCAGGACGACCAATTTACGCCGGTTGTCTCTTTCGATTACGACAACGGGTATCCGCGATTAGACGTGTGCACGATGTCGACAATGTTGACGCGTGATTTACTTAACGTACGGCGAGAAACGGCCGAAGGGGATGCTGGAAAGTATTTGGACTCCGAAGGAGCGGTAAAAAGTTGTCCGACGTCGTTGTCTATTACCTGCGGATTTAAAAAATTCAACGTCGCGTTGATATTCCCGGGTGCACCTGGGCTCGAGCGAGTCGACGCTCTGCTCCACTTTTTCGGTACAGCCCGAGCTCAGGGCTGCCTTAACCGCCGGACTTGATTAGGGCGCTTCTGACGGTGTCCCCCTTGTAATTCACTCCGCTGGGAGACGCAACCGCCGTTGCTCTCCTCTCGCGTGAAAAATACATCCTTGTCGATTGCCGAAGTGCACAGTCAGCCTTACGTCGGTGCGATTTACCCGGGGAAAATCAATAGCCGCGCGATGCGAGACGGAATATACGCTGATTTTCGACGCGTTACCCGGTACACCGGGTGTCTCTGAAATTTCAAGGCGAGCTCGTGCGACGCTCGGAGCAAAGTTTCGTCACTTCGGTTTTCCGAAATCTTTCTTATTCGCTTGAGCTTTGAATCGACGCGTGACACTTTGTCGTGAAAGAATAGAATAATATATTTGTGACTTTAGTTCACACTGGACCGAGTACTTTTTCCAAATGGAAATGGTATTTAAATTAATTAATTATCTTGTTATTTTTTCTATTAAAGGTGAACGAAACGTTGTTCGTTACTTTTAATTAACGTTGAATTGCGAATTTCAAGCCTGCGAACGTGCTGTTGCAAATATACAGGGTGAGGGAAAAGTACCGGACCGGTAAAATATCTCGAAAAATATGGGAGATACGGAAAAATGTTTCAGACAAAAGTTGTACGGTTTTAAAAGGGCTATATAATGGTAAAATTAATGTTCCAAAAAAATTAATTTTTTATGATTATATGGAGGTCGCCGCCATTTTTTTTAATGGAACTCC